CAATACACCAATGTGGATCCTGAGACTCAAGATGGAAACAAACTCCTTATGACCTACTTTTTTTCCCAAAGTTACCCTGATATTAGGGCCAAACTCAGACGTCTAGAAAAGGGCCCCTTAACTCCACAGTCAGAAGCCCTAAATGTGGCATTCAAGGTGTACCATGGAAGGGATGAAAAGGCCCAAAAACAAAAATACCTGATGATGGCTAAAAGCTCTTGGCCAGCCAAAACGAAAGCCCAGGCTCCCAAAGGACAAAGGCTCCTACGTCCTTGTTTCAAATGCGGTCAGGAAGGCCACTGGGCCCGGGCCTGTCCAAACCCTCGTAAACCACCAGGACCATGTCCAAGGTGCGATCAAGAGGGACACTGGAGCATTGATTGCCCCCATGTTCCTGACAGCATGGGGACATCAATCCCAGATCGCCCTTCAACTGACCTCCTTGGCCTGGCCATTGATGACTGACGATGGGGCCCGGGCTCCCTTGGCCTGACCACCGCCATCTCCGACAGGGAGCCTCGGGTAGTTATCATAGTATCAGGGAGGCCTATCTCCTTCCTCCTGGACACTGGAGCCACTTTTTCAGTCTTGACAAATTTTTGGGGACCAACCACTCTTTCTTGTTCCTCTATTGTCGGAGTAGGAGGACAGCCCTATCAGGCCCAACAAACCCCACCACTTAACTGTATCTTTAAGGGTATCCCCCTTACTCATTCCTTCCTAGTGATACCAACCTGTCCCATCCCATTGCTGGGAAGGGACCTTTTAGCCAAAGTGGGAGCCTCCATTTCTTTTGCTCCTCCTATCCGTTTGGCCTCAGGTTTGCCAGCTGTTCCCCTTCTCCTCCTCCTACAAACCACACAGTCTAACACACTTCTTCCCTTACCATCCTCTCAGGTATATCCTCAGGTATGGGACACCCAAAATCCCTCTATAGCCAAACATCACACCCCTCTAATCATCCGACTACAAAACCCTGCCAAATATATAACTAAGTCTCAATACCCACTTTCACTCCAAAGTCTCAGGGGACTCAAACCTCTCATCTCTGACCTCCTGAGAAAAAGTCTTCTTTGCCCCACTTCTTCCCCCTTCAACACCCCCATACTTGCAGTCAAAAAACCTAATGGAACCTACCGCCTGGTTCAGGATCTCCGACTTATTAACTCAGCAGTAGTGCCCCTTCATCCTGTAGTTCCCAATCCTTATACTCTACTCTCCACCATCCCTTCAAAAACTTCTCATTTCTCTGTCCTTGATCTCAAGGATGCCTTCTTTTCTATTCCTCTAGACCCCCAGTCACAAAATATCTTTGCCTTTACTTGGACTGACCCAGACACTCACATTTCTACACAACTTACTTGGACAGTCCTACCTCAAGGGTTCCGGGACAGCCCCCATTTATTCGGTCAGGCCCTAGCCTCTGATTTATTCTCTTTGTCTCTCCCAAAATCCAAGTTGATACAGTACGTAGATGACCTTCTCCTTTGTAGTCCATCCCTAGAAATAAGCCAGGCCGACACCTCTACTTTGTTAAATTTTCTATGTAGCCGAGGATATAGGGTATCACCCTCTAAGGTCCAGCTGTCCATTCCTCAGGTAACTTACCTAGGACTAACTATTACTCCAACTCATAAGGCTATTACCCTAGATAGAAAAAACCTAATACAATCACTTACAGTCCCCACCACAAAGGATGAAATCTTATCCTTCCTAGGAATGGCCAGCTTCTTACGTTCTTGGATTCCTTCCTTCTCCCTTCTTGCTCGCCCTCTGTATCAGGCAGCCCTTGGCCCATCACATGAGCCTCTCCTTGCACCTGTTACCAAGCCATTTCGTCAGCTTCAACAGGCCCTCCTACAGGCTCCAGCCTTACACCTTCCAGACTTAACGCGTCCCTTCTCTCTCTATGTTACTGAGAAAGAGGGATATGCCCTCGGGGTCCTGGGTCACCAACTGGGACCTTCCTTTGCACCAGTCACATACTTATCAAAAAAATTAGACCACACTATCCAAGGTTGGGCACCTTGTCTGCGGGCTCTGGCTGCAGCTGAACTCCTCATACGAGAATCAAAGAAGTTAACCTTTGGGTCTCCTACTACTGTCCTCTCTCCTCACCACCTGTCCCATCTTCTAACATATAAGGGTCTCCAAACATTACCCCCTCCAGAGTTCTCTCCCTTCAGGTAGCATTAGTAGAGGATACAACACTTACCTTTCAGCCATGCCCACCTCTTAATATTTCAAATCTTCTCCCCCAACCAGTCTCAAAATACTCCCCATCTCACTCTTACATTGAGACCCTAGAAGAGTTACTACCTCATCCTACACATATACATGAGGGAGCTCTACCCCAAGCCACCTATACATGGTATACGGATGGCAGCTCCTTCCTAAACCTGTCATACCATCTCTTATTTCAAACCTTAATCTCTACATACAAGCTATTAAATAATGTCTTGCCTAACCGCTTTGAAGAATGCTGGTTGTGTGTCCCTCCTGGGTCAAACTCACAACCACCCTTTGTGGCCTCACCCATTGTCTTAACAGATTTTCCCACTTTGCCACTTCTAAACTGCTCTGAGCCAAACATTACTACCACCCCTTATCTCTCCCACATCTCTCTCTTCGGTATCTCAGACTGCTTTAGCTCAGCAGGAACACACCTTGTGGGCATTCTAGATTCTAAAGACTGCAACAATACCATAACGCTTAATACTACCACACAGCCCCTATGTCCAAACATTCACAATGCGTCGATTCTCTGTGGCACACAGGTATACCACTGCCTGCCTGCCAGTTGGTCTGGGACATGTACCCTGGTGTTCCTCTTCCCTAAATTAGGAGTGATACCTGGTGAAGAGCCCCTACCAATTCCCATCACTAAGTTTATAGCAGGACGACATGACAAGCGAGCAATTCAGATCATACCCCTCCTGGCAGCTCTGGGCATAACTGCAGGTGTGGCCACAGGAACAGCAGGATTAACCATTTCCCTAACGATGTACCATAGGCTTTCCTCACAATTCATCCAGGATTTCCAACAGGTAGCTCAAACCATCCTCACCCTTCAGGGTCAGATAGACTCCCTATCTGCTGTAGTACTACAAAATCGGAGAGGACTAGATTTACTAACAGCAGAAAGAGGTGGACTTTGCCTCTTTCTCGGGGAAGAATGTTGCTTTTATGTTAACCAGTCAGGAATAGTAAAGGATAAAATTCAACAACTTCAAACAGACCTTCAAAAATATAAAGAACAACTTGATAGCTCTGGCCAGTGGATCACTAATAATCCAATATGGAACTGGATGCTACCTTTTCTAACTCCTCTTCTCTCTGTTTTCTTAATTCTACTAGTGGCACCCTGTCTTATAAATTTTTTGTCTAGATTCCTTCAACAACAAGTTCAAAAAATTTCTAACCAAACTTTCAACCAGTTGTTATTACAGGGTTATCAGCCCCTAGCTAAGGAACCAGAAAGCTACAACACCTGGACACATCTGGACAAAGATGAAGATTGCCCCATGAACCTCGACGCCCCCATTCAGCAGGAAGTAGTCTAATGATAACACCGCCCCTTTTCCAAACCCCAGTTTTATTAAACAAAAAAGGGGGGAATGTAGGGAAAAGGGACCAGTCAAAGAAACACACCCTGAGCAGAGCCAAAGAAACACACTTTGGCCCTGCAACCAGAACCAAAGAAATGTACCCTGACCCTAAAACCAGTGCCAAAGGAACACACTTTGTCCCTGGAATCAGAGTCAGTGAAAGAAATGTACCCTGGCCCTAAAATTGGAGCCAAAAGGCTAAAAAGGACCAGAGAAAGAAACACACTTTGGCCCTGAAACCAGAGCCAAATCTGACCCTAATCCTGTGTAAAAAGTAACCAATCCCGGAGCAGAGCTCTAGCCAATCTGAGCTCAGCACTGAAATCGGACCAATCCCTACCCTGGAAAAACTTCCCCAACCCCAGGAACCCCTATATAAACCCTGTGTATGTTCAGCTTGGCTGGTCCAGCTGTCTTCCAATAAACACCTTTGGATGAGCTTCGGGGTGAAGATCTTCTTTTGCGGCTGCGACAGAGCAAAGGCGACCCTGGGCAGAGCAGAGCAGAGCGAGCAGAGGCGACCCTGGGCAGAGCAGAGCAGAGCAGAGCGAGCAGCGCTGTAACACTTGCCCGGGAAACCTTCCTTGGCAGAGCGGAGTTGTTACACTCTGCTCCCGCCCGGCTCCCTGCTCTCCGCTCGGCTCTCCAGGAGCAGAGCTGAACTGTAGCAACTTCGCCCGAGAAACCTCCTGCGGAGCAAAACTGCTACACTAGGCGAACATCCCCAGCTGGAAGACCCTGTCCTGCCGGAGCGGAGCTGACACACCGGAGAAGCCTTTCTCTGAGGCAAGGCTGTAAGCTGCCAAGCTTACTGCAACCTGTGGTGGTCCTTGGCTCCCGAGCTCCAGGATACCTTTCTACCTGAGCTGTGTAACACTCAGTATCCTTGGCTCCCGAGCTCCAGGATACCTTTCTACCTGAGCTGTGTAACACTCAGTATCCTTGGCTCCCGAGCTCCAGGATACCTTTCCACCTGAGCTGTGTAACACTGGGTATTCTGTGACTCCCGAGTGCCAGAATACCTGACCCACTCACTCCTGTTCCATCCTGTCCTGACCCATCCCGACGAAACGCTTACAACAACTAAGGCAGATCTTGCCTTTGCCGGTTTTATTGTGGGCGTATTTTTCTGTCTTTGTGGTTAATAAGCTCATTTCTCAAAAGACTAAGTCTGTCGTCCTGCAATGAGACCATGGCTTCATCTTTCACTTTTAGGACCGCAGGTTTTCGCCATTCTTTTCCACTTAACATTGTAAATCTGGGCTACAATTTTTTAAAAAATTTTATCCCATTAATATTTTTTCTTTTCTGCATCTTAAAAAATACATTTTTAAAAAAAGAAAGCTACTTTTGCTATAGTATAGTAAATTACAAGGCAGGAACCATGATGAGTATGTAAAACAAGAAAAAAAGCCCTGAATTTTATTTAAATGATCAATGCTCTATTGGACACAATGGTATACGTATATAGTCCCAGGATTAGGAGGCTGAGTGAAGGCAGGAGGATTTCCATAAGTCCAGTGAGGCTGTGTTTCTGAAATAAGAAAAATATTTTTAATCAAATAGCAATGACGAGCTTCCAACACAGGAAGCATGTATACTATCAGGCACAAAAGAGGTTGAAACCGTGGGGCCACAAGTCTGTGTGTTTTCCTGTACCATAGCATACAAAAGCATTTAAAAACGAGCTTGGTGGCTGGGAACAAATTGGTGGAGAGGGAGAGTGATGTCATGTTTCCTCCTTCAGTGACCTCCACATTTTAAGGGTCATAGAATTATGGCATTTCGAGCACCTATGATGGCATTTCAGTCTGCAGCATTTCAGATAGCATTACTAGCACCAAACTGAAGATACAAATTAATGAGGTGGTTGGAATTCATCGTTGTCTTTGAACGGTGTCTGACTGTCACCACACACTAGCTCCAGACACCTGGCCTCAGGCCATCCTCTGTGTCGTTAGAACTATAGGAAGCCACCACATCCATGTGAATATAAATGGTATACAGTAGCTCTCGGGTGCTCTGATAGATAAGCATGGACTTATCTTTTTATGATAGCTTTTAAATATTCCTACAGGCAATTAGCTCAGGTTCTAAGAGGATTGAGTTACATTTGGACATCTTCATTCCTCAAAAATCGATTTCAAATATTACCTGTGGATACAAATCACAACTTTTTGGAAAATCATATTTATGGTGTAATTCCACCAGTTCATGCTTTCTTGACCAAGACAGAAGTCATATGAGGTGTAACTCTGCTAAGGGCAGAAATTGAACCACAGCATTTCAGCTTTGAACAATTCACTCTACGGCCATATGCAGTGACCGACCCTTGTAGTAACAACACTCAGAAATCTGAGGCAGGAACATAGCCAAAAGTTCAAAGACAGCACAAAAGAAAAACATCACTATCATTATAAATATTTAGGTTGGTTTTTGTTACCAAAGTTAAATACTTTCAAGGACTGTTAAACACTAAAGGACTGCTGTAATTCATGTATAGCATAGCAATGCTTTTTCCTCAAATAGAACAGGAGTTTAGGAATCCAAACTAGAAAAATAGTTGCCCTGATCCCAGTGACCCCTTACAATATTTGTTTTTTAAGCCATGTTCATAGACCTGAGGCTCAACAATGTCATGTTCCCACCAGATGATCCATAAGAGCCCCATTGGAATATTAAATTATAGTTACTTTACTCATGCGTTGGTTCTCTCTCTTAACAAAAGCAACTGATGTATCTCTTCAAAGATAAATGGGGCTACAGTTACATATGAAAATGGAGAGTATGTTTAACATACAAGTTGATTTTCTTGGTGCCTGTGACTTAGTTTTAATGTTAAATCAGGCCCACAATCTGTATGCCTGAAGGAGGTGACCAAAGAAAGGCCTAGATTTCTCAGGGCTGCTAAGACCATTAAAAGTTCTAGCTTTTGCAATAGTGGGTAAAGGTGCCGGTATGGGAAAAGCATTTGGAGCTCTAGCTGTACCACATATCTGCAGGGGAAACAATACCTCACACAGACTCTTGACTATGTAGTAGGCATTCTATAGGAGAGACTGGATCTGAGCAATATTAAGACTCAGTGGGGCCGGGCGTTGGTGGCGCACACCTTTAATCCCAGCACTTGGGAGGCAGAGGCAGGTGGACCTCTGCGAGTTCGAGGCCAGCCTGGTCTACAGAGCGAGTTCCAGGACAGCCTCCAAAACAATACAGAGCATCCCTGTCTCGAAAAACAAAAACAAAAATAAAAAAGACTCAGTGGTACTGATTCCTCCTTCAGAACTGAACCTCTTCCCTCCCAGCTAACAGAAGTGTGGCTGATGACAGTTCATAGTCGATGGTTACTGCCTAGCCAATGGTGATGTTGGAGGTGGTAATTTAACAGTATAGTGGTGAGGGGTCTAGCTGTTTTGCACTAATTTGGGGGACACCTATAAAGACCATCCCAAGTCTAGAAGCTATGCTTGCTTGCTTACTCTACTTTTTAAAAAAATTCTTATTGCTTTCACAGTTGGATATACTCTGCAATGGAATTGCTGGATCGTCTGAAAATTTATTTTTTAAGGAGTCTTCATACTGGCTGTTGTTTCTTTCCTAGTTTGTTTCTTCACCTAAAAAGAATTTGAGAAAATATTCTCAGAAAATACAGTCAGTTCCCTACTTCCACACATCCTGCTGCCTCTGATTTTGGCTCACTTCAGCTTTTTCTGTATGCTCTTACTATGTTTTTAAAATCATGCTGTATGGGAGGAAATGTTGCTTGAGTAGCTGGGGGTGTGACTCGGGCAGAACGTTTCCCTAGTGCGCATGAGATACCAGGTTTAAAGTCCAGCTCTGAAAAGAAGAAACTTACTTTAAAAGTCTGCTTAAATCTGTGACTAAATCTAGTTGCCACAACAGATAAACCGGAGCAGCTCCTCCCAGATCTACTCTGTCCCTTCACTGAACTTTGGTGTCCCAGGAGGTTGGCTCTTAGGGACTGCATCAGCTGCACTCCTGGGAGGCCCCATTGCTGGGGTTAGCTAATGAGGGCGCCGGCTCTGGAGACACGGTATCCAGGCGTCTCTGGAGACACGGTATCCAGGCGTCTCTGGAGACACGGTATCCAGGCGTCTCTGGAGACACGGTATCCAGGCGTCTCTGGAGACACGGTATCCAGGCGTGTCAAGGTGTTCCCTGCTTTGTCAGCACATCTGGCAAAGGCTGAGCCAGTTTCTCGCTGGGGCTCCTGCCCGGCAGCTCCTCCTGGGCGCCAGTCAGAGCTCTGATTCCTGTTGTCCATTTAGTTGTAGGGGTGGTGACAGCTTCCTGTCCCCATGCCTCTTCCCACTCTGTTGACACATCTGAGAGTTCTTTCATTAAAGTCTATTAATTTGAATTATCTGGAGCAACTTGTTCCCTGACAGAATTTGGGTGATCTGCCTCACGTCTCAGTGGCTTAATGCTAGTTTGCTCATCACACGTGTCATAGTTGGATGCAAGTCAGACAGCATTCTTTATTCTTGGAATGTTAGCATATGGAATATGTAGTCTCCAACATGAAGAACAGTGAGTTGAAAGCTTGCATGAGATGCTAAGAGTCAAGTTTAAAAAGACTTTGCGTCACTTCCCCTGAATTCAGTGGCCAGAAGCTGTCACAGGGCCCCCTAGTAACAAGGAGGCTGGATAGTGACAACTAATACTCAGGCATTTCTAGTACATAACCTGAGAACCACACATCCCCTGTCTGCCTTGTGGTTTCCTCTCTGCCCCCATCTTCTTGGGTAGGGATCTTAGACTTTTCATGGGCAACTTTACTGGCTCTCACTGCCTGAGAAGTCCTGAGAACTTCCCCGGACTCCTAAATATTGACTGTCGCCATCTTCTTTCTCTACCTGAACTTAGAAAGTTCACTTAGTTTGAGCTGAACCGGAACTACTTCTGATACTCTATTGTAACATCAACACTCAGTTTCCTCAAGACTTACCTTAAGCCCCATAAAGCTAGTCTTCAGCCTGACAAGTCAGGATGACAGACAACTGAGCTTCAAACACCCACACAACAAAGGAAAGACAAGATTCCCATAGTGAGAAACACTACCAATGACCTAAATCCAGATGTCTAGGCCCCATCAAAAAATAAATAGTAATCATGAATAATCAAGGTAATAAATCTCTGCAAAAATTAATGCTGCTATAATAATGTTCCCAAAGCGAGTGACTTAGATAACACATAAAACAATGCTTTTAAAAGAGAAAATGAACATGATCAAGAATTCAGATATGAGCAGTGTCTGAAGACAGCAAATACATAGCTGAATGAAATAAATAATTTAAGATATGAAAATAGAATTTTAAAAAGAGATAGAAGCATGAAACGAAAAATCAAAAGGAAAGAAAACTTCACATGAAGGACTAAACAATAGTAGGTTAAGTGGAAGAGAGACTATCAGACCTTGAAGACAATGAAGAGAAACTAGGTCACTCAGAAAATGTCAAAGCGGAACCCAAGAATGGAGCATGCAGGGACCCCTTTCCTGTTGTTCTCATGAAATCCCCTGACCCCACAACTTACCGAGAAAGAGCTTAATTCACAGTTCAAAGTACAGTCACCATAGCAGCCAACTCAAAGGGGCAGGAGCTTGAAGCAGCCCATTACTCGCTATCCAGTCAGTTTCCAAAGAAAGAGGAGGGTGTGCAAGCTCGCTAGAGATCAGCTTGCTATCTCCATTTCCCAAAGGTCAGGATCCCAGCCCTAGGAATAGGCGCTGCTCATGTCCTACTTTAATTCAAATGGTCAGGATAATCTCCCACAGGCCTGCTCAGAAGCCCTTCTTCCAGACCGTTCTAGCGTTTGTCAGCTTGCCCATTAATACTAACCATTACAATGCCATTCACAACAAGAGTCTCTCTCATTGACTAAGTTCAGTTCCGAGTCATCTTTGCCTCTTAGGTTGCATTTTATATAGAATGTGCTCTATTCTAAAATGAACTCTATCATCAATTGTTATAAGGCTTATTTATGTGGCACCTAGCTGTCAATTTCTAGTAGAACATATTTATGCTATGCATAGACATTTGCACGTCTCTTAATGTTTACTGAATTTAAGCTTCCCAGTTGTATTACTTATTCTTTAAAGATTTATTTTACTATTTTTAGTTATATGTCTACATGGGAGAGGGGTTTGTGCACATGAGTACATACATTACAGAGTTCAGAGAATGTTGGATCCCCTGGAGTAGGAATTCAGGAGTCTCTGGGTGCTGGAACAGAAAGAGAGTTAACTATAAAATAATGAGTTTCATTATGATATTTCGTGTGTGTGTGTGTGTGTATGTGTGTGTGTGTGTGTGTGTGAGATGGGGAAGTCCTGTGTATATGTCAATAAAGCACTGTTGGCCAATAGGGAAGTAAGATACATGGGACTAGGAGTTGAGGAGGATTCTGGGAAAGAGAGACACAGGCAGACACAATGTAGCCCGCCAGAGGAATAAGAGGTCTGGACCCTTTTCTCTGGTAAGAGAAATACTTAGATTAACTATTATGGGGTAAATACTTAAGACAGAGCTAGCCAGTAAGAAACAAGCAAGGCCAACAGCTTCATAATTAATATAGCATCTTGTGTGTTATTTGGGGATTGCAACTGTGGCAGGGGAAGACTACACTCTACATATGATTGTCAGGAGTGGGATATGAATTTCCACGTAGAATGACAAGAGCTTAAAAGGAATTTTAGAAACAAAAGAACGGAGAGAAGCACAGCTTCTTGGTAGCATCACTTTTCTCAGGTGGGCTCTGTTTTGCTAGAGACAAGTAGAAACTCACGTGGCTCCCTTAAAGGAGTCTTCCTGACTCAGCATAAGCAAAGAAAAAAATCATCAAGGTTCTTTTAGGAGGCTCTGTTAACAGTTGAATGGTGTGCACAAGCATCTGGCAGTGGCAGTGACCACATCTCCAAGCTGGCACCATGCTGCTGGATGTCAGCATAGACTGAGGCGATGAGCTGGAGTCACGCTTATGCCTGCCATGTTGGAAAGCCAGCAGCTGTTTCCGCTTTAATTTTAGCAATGTTCTTTAGCCTATATAAGACACCTGGCCAGAAAAACAAAGTTGTACAGTAAAGTCAGATCCAGATGAAGTAAAATATAGCTAGACTTGGGAGAGTAGAAGAAACAAGATATTGGAAAAATAAAAATAAAATAGCTGGGGGCGGTGGCATACACCTTTAATACCAGCACTGAGGAGGAAAACATAACCAAAGAGAGTAGCTGGGTGTAGTGGCATGCGCCTTTAATCCCAGTACTCCAGAGGCAGATTTTTGAAGAGATAATCTGTCTCAGAGAAAAATAAATAAAAGTAAAAGAAATAGAGTAATATAAGCCACGTAAAGATGGAAAATACACAGAAATTCTGGATACTGTATACTATTGTGTTTTTCAGTTGTTCAGTGGCTAAGGAAGGAACAGCTGCTGAAATATACTTGATTATAAATGCTGCTGAATTAATCCAACTTATATATTTCAAAAATGCTTTGACTTCTAACTTTAAATATAAGGACAGGTTACTTGGGAAAAGAGTTTTTGTTTATGTTTCCACAGAAAATGGAAAGCTGTGGATTCCTTCCAGGTTTCTGTGGTTTGATGAACCAAGACCCCCAGAAGCAGTGGGCCAGGCATTCCAACATCTAAAACAGCTGAGAAGATACAGCCTTAAGGACTACAAGAAAAGGACTTAGCCATGTTTCTGAGTTTTGTCATGATCCCCATTGTATGGACAGCACCCCCTATCAGCAGGAAGCAGTTTGGAATGAGTTACATCCAAATTCCCATATTGTTTATAAATCTTTATTTTCATTTGAATGGGGTTGCTTTTAATTGGTTAATGATCACAACCAATCTCTTTTTAATGGTAAAAGGGGATATATGGTATGGAAATGAATACTTTGTATTGGTATGGTTTTTCATTTATTGATACAAATTCAAGGTCAATTTTGTGATATGTGTATTTCTCTTGTTTAAGTGTTGTGTTTATACTAATCTTTTAAAACATAATGCATAATTAAATACAGTATAGATAGTTACATATAATAGTCAGAACTTATAGTTAGGTAAGTTAGGTTTTCTACATATACAGAAATATATTTGAGATAGATAGATAGATATTCTTTGAACTTTTCAAAGACCTACAGAATATATGGCATTTAAAATGGTTTAGGATTTTTCTTGACAATGAGAAATGTCTGCTCCTGGCAGCACCAATTACGTCTGAGAGGAAGATGGGCATCGAAGAAAATTGTTAAGGAGTTTGCTTTCAACATGGCAAGATTAGACATTTGGGCAAGAGACTGCTCTTTCCTGGACTGCTTGACTGTTGCTGTATAAACTGGACATGCAGGACCCACAGGAAAGTGACTGCTGAACTCAAACAGTCCTACGGGGTTCCTGCTTCATGGAAGAGTCTGTCAGACTTTCTGCAGGACACAGAAAATGACTGACGGACTGCCATTCCAAATGGACAGCTTGAAATTTCCTGCTTTGCTGAGAAGTCTTCCAGACACACTGTGGCCTATGGGCTGAAGATGGATGCCTCAACGTTACTTAGATTAACAATTATGGGTTAAATATTTAAGTCAGAGCTGGCCAGTAAGAACAAAGCAAACGGATAACAGATTCATAATTAATAAAGTGTCTTGTGTGTTACTTGGGGACTGCAACTGTGGCAGGGCCCAGGCAGATGGCGGACGTGTGTGTGTGTGTGTGTGTGTGTGTGTGTGTGTGTGTGTGTGTGTGTGTGTGCAATGTAGTGGATCTGTCCAGTCACTCCTCTGCTATCTCCCCTGCTCTTATATTGGTCTCTTTCCTTCCCACAAATAGCTCTCCTTTTATTTTCATTGTACATATGTGTACATTCATATGTGTGCGCAGTTAAATATGGAGTCCGCACATGAAACTGAGTAAGGTTTTCTTTCTGCCCCTGCTGTTACCTTCTCTTTGCTCCTGCTCCCTTTGAGGCACCTCCCTCTCCTCACAGTCCCATTTCTGCATTCATCTTTTGTACCTCTCTCTGCCCCAATATATGTATAGTGTATGTAAACATTTATGTATATTCTGCACAAGAGAGAAACATGAAGCATTTGCCTTTCCCAGTCTGTCTTATCTCACTAGCATGATAACTTTCATTGCTATCCATTTTTCTGAATATGACATAATTTAATTCTTTTTTGTTGGTGCTTTGCTTGTTGGTTTTGAGACAGGGTTTCTTTGTGTAGCCCTGCCTGTCCTGGAACTCACTCTGTAGATCAGGCTGGCCTCGAACTCAGAGATCTGCCTGCCTCTGCCTCCCAAATTCTGGGATTACAGGTGTGTGCCACCATTACCCGAGCATCACAATTTAATTCTTTATAGCTGAATCAAAGTCTGTTGTGTATATGATTTCCTTTTTCCTTTGTTCTGTTGATGGATATCTAAGGCA